AAAATGTCAAAAACAGCTTACTTAATAAAAATAAAAATAAATAAAAATTTAAAAAACAGCTTACTAATCATATTATTAACTATTAATTTTAACATTAACCTGATCAGTTTATACTTTACCATAAACATGTGTTTCCAAGCATTATTTAAGTTCTCACATCATATTACCAATGACTAGAACAATATCCAAAATGCTTGATATAGTTACCTAAAAAGAAAAGGTGAGATCTAAACTTATTAGCATGTATCCAGCCACAGATCAATTAAAGACTTCTCATGTGCATCCTCCTTTTCATAAAATTAAACTAAATGTTGAACCCACATTTCCAACTGGTCCACTGAGTTATTCCTGTGCTATGAGACCCTCAGCAGAGAACAAGAGTTCATGGAATTCTCAAGAAGAGCATTGGACTGGGGATTTAGCTCAGAGGTTCCGGTGCCTGCCTCGAAAGTGCAGGGACCCAAGTTCAATCCCTGGGACCAAAAAAAAAAAAAAAAAAAAACAGAAGAAGAAGAACACCAAAGGATGCAATGTTTGCAAACCAGCAACATTACCACCAAATAGACTACATCAAATGGACACAAGCAGATCCTTCAATGCTATAGTTAGAAATAACAGGCCACAGCAATGGCCAAACACTGGTGAAGAAAGGGATTGGTATGATAACTAATGGAAGGAAAGAGAAGATACAGCAGAAGAACATTAAAAGGTGTTAGGGACGGGGATGTGGCTCAGTGGTAGAGGACTCACCTAGCACTCAGAAGGCCCTGGGTTAGACTGTCAGCGGAAAAAGGAGGAGGGAGTAGGGGGAAGAAGAGGAGAAGAGGAGAGGAGGGGGAGAAGAGGAGAAGAGGAGGAAGAGGAAGAAGAAGCCTGCTTTAGGAAATCGTAAATTCAATTCAGAAGAGCAGCTTCACAAAAGCAGAAACAAAAGTTTCTGGTATTGTGTAAACTACGATGTGGCTTTGTTGTTACAATCTAAACATTAACACGTGAAATCTGTCATAAAACACTACTCAAAACAACATACACACACCACAATTAAGCCAACTACTAATTAAATATAAACACATAAAATGTATTGGGTAAATGCTAGGAATGCAAGGTGAGATTAAATGTATGACCTAAGATTTTTCCCAAAGATGATGCTAATCTGAGATATGTCATCTACATTAATGAAAGCCCCAGAACACAGATGTGTTAATATTCTCCATAAAGTGTCCCTTTTAAATGGTATCACACTTAACTACGAATATTTTAAGTTTTCACTGAGATTTTTAGTACTTCTACAAGACATGTTTTAGAATATGCATTTTATGTTTCTAATAACATACTAAAGTAGTGAAATAGTATTATAGTTAGATAAAACCTGTTATACTGACACTAGAGAATGTTACTTTAATTCATTAAAGAAAGAATTATAAAACCAAATATTTCAACATTAAAACTTGTGTTTAAAAATTCTGAGCCAGGTGTGATGGCACACGCCTGTTGTCCCAACACTCTCGAGGCTGAGGCAGGAGGGTCACCAGGAGTTCGAGGCTAGCTTAAACTATATAGTAAGTTCAAGGCGACCCTGAAGTATATATTAAGACCTTGTTTCAAAAAAATCATAAATAAATAAATAATCTGAAACAATTTCAGTAGAAAAGAATGTTTTCTGCATTTTATTAGTAAGAGACAAATTCAAGTTTCTAAAAGTTAAGTACTAAAAATATCAATCTGGAGAGGAAAATAGAAAAAGGCTGTCATTTTACAGAGCTATTAAGAATACTGATGGTAAAAAGACTTATAAGAAAACAATTTTAACGCTTCAATTATTCTGTACATTTTGTCAGAATAAAGAAGTGTTGTGGTACTTGAGATATTGCTCAGCGGTAGAGCACTCACCCACCTAGCATACAAAATAGCTGAGGTTTGATCCCCTAGCCAACAAAAACAACAATAAAAAGACGTTTTATACAAATGCATAGATACTGCCCTGTCTTAAACTGTTTCCCAGAATCCATATGTGGATGAGCTCAGACCACTGATTCTGTATCTGATAGGGAAAAAAAGTAATGTCTTGAATTATTATTACAGTACTTCTTTAGACTATAATCAACAAGATCTCAGTCACCTATCCCTAACTTGCTTTAAATTTCAATCGCTTTCAAGGAGCCCTTTAAAAAATGAACAATTTAAAACTGTTAGTATATAACATTACAAATACTGGTTCCACATCAAAACATTTACACAATGAATTCTGAAAATACAATATAAAAAGGGAAAAAAATATGAACATAGCCATAATTAATTGATAGAATCTGTTTTTTGATGATTTGTCATTGCCTCCTTGAAAGCATAGTTTTCTTACTCAAAACTGCGCACAAAATAAGATAATCTAGGGCCAGGGAAGTAACTCAGTGGTGCCACACCTGCCTGGCAAGTGCCAAGTCCTGAGCTTGATCCCCAGTACTGGAAAAAAAATGGATAATTTAAAGGCAGTTTATTCTTAAAATAAACTAAAGTGAAACTCTTGGGAGACAAACTTCAGTAGAAAACTTCTGCATTTTATTAGTAAGAGACAAATTCAAGTTTCTGAAGGTAAGTACTAAAATTAATCTGGAGTGGAAAATAGAAAAAGTCATTTTGGCTGTCATTTTACAGAGCTATTAAGAATACTGATGGTAAAAAGACAACCAATCAGGAGCTACAGAAAACAACTCTCAGAATTCTCAAGAATTTTCAATCTTCAAAATCCACACGTATATATATCCCTTACTGATATTCTGCTCCATTTCGATCCATTAACACTGGCCTAGTGTGACATGGCAGTATTTTGTAAGTTTGGTCTATGGTTCTACCTCCCAAAGTGTACAACAGTACTAATGAATTATGTTCTGGACTTAGGACATTTACAAATGGAACCATAAAATTAATACTACCACTATTAATACAACCTTAAAAATGGGAAGGAGCCCTATAGAGGCCATAGCGTTCAAAGCTATTTGCAATATGTTCTAATTTCATCATGTTTTTCAATTTACCTTTTCCAAGGTACCAAAACTATTAACTATATTTACATAAACCTATTAAAATTATTGCAATTAATAATAAACTGTAATCTTATAATCTTAAACTTTAAACTGAAAATTTTAACTTGTTAAAAGCAATATTCTAACAAAAGATTAAGAATATTATAATAATTCAAGGGTTAACATTATTTTAGCAAGCTTAAAGTACTACCGCACAAATTTATTGGATCTGATATATTAGATTTTTCCTCGGTAAGAATCACCTTGTCTTTCAAAATGCCATAACTACAGAGAGAAGTAAATCTTAAAAAGATTACAAGAAGCTCACTAAAATAAAATTCCATCTGAAGTAATCTTCTTGGTATGATGTATACAGCATAAAATATGCTTGTTGATGGCCAACAAATTCTACAACTCTGAGTCGCTTGCGTTTATCCCCAATACATTTTGCTAAAGCATCAGCAATTAGTTATTAATCAAACTTTCTCCCTGGAGAAACCAAAAGCCAAACACCTATAAGTTCTGGAAGCCAAAATACGTCTGCTTCCTCCCTTCCTGTGAGCCATTAAACCTTAAAATTAGTCTTATTTAGCTACTTTGCTGATAATCACTATTCTTCACTACAGTCCTTGCCATATTCCCATTTGGAGAAAACTATCCAAACATAAAACTATCCCAATCTATCCTCTCACTCAATCCAGACATGCTCCTAATACTGATTATTCTGTAACCTTTATCCAAAACAACCACTGACAAGCTTGCTGTTTTAAATCCCATTTAATATGGCTTCACGGTATCTCTAAATTAAATAAGCTGCTCAACATTATGTTCTATAGTATAATACCCTACAACTTCTAAAGTGCTTGACTAAGTTTACCAATATCTCTCCTCTCTCCGGAAGAGTAAATATCCTGTCATAAAACCCAGAGAATAGCTGCTTAGTTCTAAAGAGCACAGCCCATGAGCACTTTTCGAAGCAGCTGTTAGTTAACTTCCAGGCGCCTGCTGGACTATCACTCTGCATAAATTAATGATGGGTCACCCTGTTCCACTTTACTTTTTCCCCATTGGTCTTAACATTGGTGCACAAAACCTACACATCTACTTTGAAAATAAATATAGTAGCAAGAAAAATACACATTACTTTAGCCCCATCGCTTTTACCAAGGAAATCGTTTCAGGATCTTGTTTATTGTTTATTATTACTTAAAGTACAACAGACTTGTTATACAAGACAATGGCAGGCTTTAAAAGGATATATTTTTCTACTTAACCTTACCAAATATATTTGGAAGTTTTCAATAAGTGCTAGAAAGTTCCACGTTAAAAAGATGCTGGTGCAGTCTATCAGAATTGTACTGCTCAAACACAAGTCCCAAATACCGTGCACCTGGTAAATTTTAGATTTATTTCTGGTCACCTACTGAGCTTTCTGCACCCTTTGTCACCGAGTGATGCTCCCACGAGCAAATACTTTCCATTCTTTAAAACAGTGTCTGTCCACCTCTCAAAAAACACTCATCAGACTTAGACATTCCTTCATATTAACACGGAACCACTGATACCACTATGTAGTATGCCTAGCAAAAGAATCCCCTTTAGCAGCTTCCCCTGGGACGCAGTGCTCAGCGGGGCTTTCAATCCGTGAGAATGCCAGCTGCCTAGCAAAAGCAGCATCAGAGGCAGACTCAATACCGCATTGCTGCTGCTGCCACTGCCACCGTTTTTCTAGCAGCTAAAAAAATAAATAAATAAAAACAAAAGCGCCCCAAAACACCCTGCAGACCCTGGTGGCTCTTCTGCAGCACGAAAAAGAAACCACCGCATTGCTCAGGTTGTAATATCGGGAAACCCAACTGAAGGGCGGGGAAGCGAATGCCATCGAGAGGCTGGAGGGCGGAGTGCCAGGCGAAAAAGGAAGGCGTCCGGAGTGAGGACCGGGACGACGCGGGTCCGATGGAGCCCCCCCCGCCCGGCCCTCACCTGTCAGGAGCGCCGCGCTGTCGCCCGCCGCCGCCGCCGCGGGAGAGGAGGCGGCCGCCCCGGCCGAGCCCGCCGCCCGCCGCCCGCGGAGATGCCGCGGCACCAGGTCGCATCCGTCTGCCGCTCCGGCCACCAGGAGCCCGAACACGAGCAGCGCAGCCCAGCACCACGGCGGCAGCCAGCACGAGGCCAAACCGGGAGCCGCGGCGCGAGGAGACCGCGGCGGCGCCCCGACCGGCGCCGGCGACTCCCCAGGCCGCCCCCGCCGCCTCAGACGCGAGGTCCCGCTGGGCGCCAGCCTGGTCCCCTCGGCACCGGCGGCCTCCGGAGCTCGAGTCCCGGCTGCGCTCATTGGTTCCGGTTATTTAAAAAAAAAAAAAAAAAGGTGGGGGACAGAAAGGTACGGCGTCTTCGGGTCGTGCGCGACACCCGCGCTGCTGCCGCGGCGAGACCAGGATCCGCTGCTCCGGCGCGGCCAAACACCAGCCCCAGCGCCCGCGCCGCCAACGCGGCGCATCCCCCCGCCCCCTCCGGCCGCGCTCGTCTTAGTACCACGCTCGGCCCGGACGCCTCCCTCCCCTCACACATTCGCTCGCGTACCAATCCCCCGCCTCCCTCAACGCCTCCACCACGCAGGTGCGGAGTTGCCGCATTGCGCTTGCGCGCGGAGACCAGCCCCGCCCCCGAGGCGTTTACAGGCGGATGGGCGTACTGCGTAGATAGGGGCGGGGCGGAGGCGGGGTTGTCCCCTCCCCCATTCGCGTACCGCCACGCGGTTTTGGGGGCTGTCAGGAGTTCCCCGGCCAAGTACCGACCTCTCAGGTCCTCTGGGCGATTTGCAGCGGTGTAGACGGGATCAAAAATGATTTCATGGGTCTGGGCAGCCCCGTAATCGGAAACAACGGCGTCCTCAAAACTGCAGTATTGGAGGTGCTTACAACGCTAGCTGTGCGGAAGTGCAGGTTAACACAGCCTCGCGTCGTACTTACTTCTCAGACACTTACCAAAGCACTTGCTATGTGCCATTCTGCCAGCCATTGCCCTAAGTCTGGGAGCTTTAGAAATATACTTGTTATCCAGTACACTTGTTAGCACCGTTTTACAAATGAGGAAATGAAGGCCCTTGGCTTGCCCCCACGGTCCCACAGCTGATGAATAAATGGGAAGTGCCCAGATGTAGCAGCCACTGAATAGAAATACTGAAATAATTTGCTTTTTACTTTCCTACATTCAGGTATTACCTGAATTCATCACCACCCTTCCCCCACTTCAATCCAGTCCCATAGAGTCTTTGCTGAATCTTTCTCATCCAAGAGTTGCCAACACTTTTATTTCTTTTTTTTGTAGTAGTGCTGGTGGTTGCAGTACTGAGGGTGGAACGAAAAGCCCTGAGCATGGCAAGCATGCTCTCTACCACTGAGCAACACCTCCGGCCCCCAAAGTCAACACATTTTTCAGTCCACCGCCTTTCAGATATAAAAGAAAGCACTGAATAGACACACACATAGGCGTTCTCTCTCCCAAGAACACAAAGTTGTTTTAGATTCTGTAGTTCTTAAGCACACAGACTATGCTGTTGGGGTCTACCATTGGAATTGGGTTTTTATTTTGTTTTTTACTGGTTTGCTTGGTTACTTTTTGAAGTCTAGATACTGCAATTACACAACCTCCTAAAGAATTTCTTAGGCAGCCTAACCAAGATACCACGAATAGCCTTCACTGTGGAAGGCCAGATGCACATAGCAGACAAGAATTGAGAATATTTTTGAGGCCAATCAATCTACCAACAATTACTTCTCAACAGATTTCTGGGGCCATGGTGGCAATTCTTTATAGGGCAACAGGGAGATTATATTTCCTCTGCTGAAAGGCACAGCAATGAAGTCATATATTTGCTGAGTACCCACAACAAGGAGACAATTCTGTTAGGGGAGCAAGAAAATATAAAGAAAATAACAGGTTTGATTCCTGCTCTCCAGGAGGCATCATTTCATTCACTGTCTATTTACTGAGCACCTAATGTGTTCCAGGCAACCGACTGGGCAATGGGGATACAGCAGAGAATAAAAGAGACACTTGAAAAAGTCAATTAAGTCAGCACTCAGTGATAAGCGATAAGACAGCTACAGGCCCTGCCTGGGAATCGTGCAATCTTGCTTAGGAAATAAAATTTACACCCATTAAACAATTAGAAACTAATACAAGGTAGCAGTTAATCAGTCGCTCAATTGGGTATTAACTGTAATAGCAACAACTGTATAAACCATGAACAAATTAACGAATGACTAGGGCCAAGCTTCTTTAAACAAAGATGATAAAGCATTTATTTTAAAGATAGGGAGGGAGCTGGTACTGAAAAGGAACTGGATTTGGAGTAACTGAAATTGTAAGGGTTTACTCCTCACATTACTGGAGACCTCAGTCATGGGCCAGGAATAAACCCTCCACCTTGTAGCATCTTTGTAATGAGTACCAAAGTTTAAAAGAGCTGCCATCATGCACCGTCTTGCTGAACAAAGGTACAGTGTAAACCAGGCACCACAACATAAACCAGACACAGAAAAGAGAAAGTCCATTGCTGGGGGACGGGGGCAAGCCTAGAATTTTTTTAGCCATTTGCAAGCCAAACAGAAGGCTCCAGCTGAGGAAATGACTTCCCTTTCTTCTCAGGTTCCCTTCCTTTTCCTTTTTCCTTGTCACCCAAAAGCTTTCTCCCTTCTTGTCAAATACCATTTACTATCTAGCTCAAGCCTCTTTGCCTTAATGACTACCCGTCTCCTACAGCCCAGACTCTGCCTTTTAAGCCCAAACCTCAGGATTTGCCATCTACAGAATGTTTTCACTGTCTCTCACCCTGTATGCTGGGCAGCCCTGGACTTTATCAGACAAAACCGGATAGAAACGGCAACTCCACTTTTTAGCTGCGTAACCTGCCGGCAATAACACCTGTCCTCAGTTTCCCCACTTAAACTGCAAATTAATGTCCCCACTGAAACTTGGGACCCAATAATGCGCACTCCACAGGGTTGCTGGTGGCAGCAAGGCAGTAAAACAGGGAAAGCCTTTGCTGGGTGCCTGGCACACAAGTATTTGGCCATCCTTAGGGAAAAAGGGGCCCCAGGCTCAGGGCGTGTTTTCTAAACAGGTTCTTGGTTTAGAATAAACGCGTTGCACTTCGTCTGTTGGTGCTGTTTGCAGTCATCCCGCAAATAATCCCAAACTCGAGGCGCGCCCAACACAGATGCCCAGCCGGACGCGTGCATCCGGCTCATAACCAACCCAGAGACAAGCCCACCTGTCCCCAGAGTCGGGCTGCCTCCCGTCTTCTCCCTAGTTACCCCGCAGCGAGGACAGCCCGACACCCGCCGCTAGCTCCAACTTGGAGAACCAGATCTCGGCCGGGGAACGAGGCACGGCGCCTGCGCCAAAGGCAGCCTCGCGCAAGCCCACTGCTCCCGCCGGCCTGCTTTCCCCAGGTGCGCGAGCTCCGGCTCTCGCGGTTCCGGCTCGCTGCGTGCCAGGGCTAGGGCAGCTTCCGGCTCCCACTCCGTAGGCCGTGCGTCCGGGCGCCCGGCTACCGCGCGCTGACGTCACCGCGTGGGCGGGCGTGGAGCGGGTTCTGGGTGCAGGCGGCGCCGCGGGGAATTCCACGCGAGTTTGAGCGGGCGTGGCTTCTCCGCGCCAACCCCGACCCGAAGGCAGATTGCAGGTGCATCTTCTCGGTTTCGCCCGGTGTACTGGACTATCCAGGCTCATCGGGCACCGTCGATGGGCCGAGTTCTCCTGCTGGTCCCTTTGGGAAAATTCAAAGAGTTGTCCTGATGGAAACCCAGTTGGGTACCCGGCTACTTCAGTTTTCCCTCTGACTCCGCACAGAAGCTTCCGAGGGAGCCGAGTCCTGAGAACTTTGGAAACAGCTAGTTAGATGGTTTCAGGAGTCATACAACGAAGCTTCCGCATATAAATATTGTCCTCAAAGGGTTGAATAAATTAAATCAGAGGGGTAAAAAAAGAGACAATGAAAATAGTTCAAGAGCAAAACCGTTGCTTTCTAAACATGATAAATCATAAGATAGTTCTCAGTTAGTTGAATGAAGGTGGAAAACATTGCATCTTCCGGAGTGAAACAAGGTAGTCTTTTTAAAGGAGTCCTAAATCCAAAGTAGGGAATCAAAAACACCTTCGATTTTAACTTACTAAAATAGTTACTTAAAAGCCACTCAGGAGAGGAAAAGCACGACAGTTTTGTCCACCAAGTGTCAGGGGGTTAGTTTGTGGGGCCATTTCTGTTAAAAGTGTGTTTTATTGCTGCTTAACTCGAGTTATTATATTAATCACATAACTGATAAGTGCTGAAGCAGTTAAGAGTGTTGACAGTTCCTGAAAAAATAGAATTGTGATGGGGATAAAAGTAAAGATAATCACATTCTAAAATAATGAAGAAATGACTTTTATTTACACACAGATGATTCTGAAATAAATATATGTAGAAAGGAGATAAACTTTTTTTCTCCAGGATTACCTTAAAGTCCAGATGCTTTCTCAGCTCTGGGCATGGTAGGCATGGTAGTAAGTGTGTTACAAGGCTTGTGAGCCCTAAATTTAGTCTACCTCATCCCCCTTCAAGACTTCAAGACACCAAAAAAAGAATAACTGAAGTAGTTTTCAGGATATACAGGAATTGCCAGCTTTTACACTGTCCAGTTCCACAACCTGCCTGCCCAGAACAATGCCTAAAAGTCCCCAACCTAAAATCGCCTGTGCTCCAGGAAAAGCAGAGCTTTGCAGACAACCCCATGATGAAATCACCTCCACCCTTGTAGGAGCAAGCACCCCATGACTAACTGAGGCAACCTCCACCTCCAACTAAGACAGTCATCTCATGGGAACAGCACTGCCCCTCATGCTATAAGGGTTCCTCCAGCTGTGGACACCAAAGCTGACACAATGATGAGTGGAACCCTGGCCCACCACAGCTATCCATAAAAGCTGGCCCCTGTGAGTGGCCATTCTGAGACCATCTGAGTTCACCTCCTCCAGTTACTCTAGCTGAAGTCACTTCCCAGTCTCTCTTTCTTTATAGCTCTGTCTAGTAAACCTTTTTCTAATAAATTCTTTATCTAATCAATGCTTTTTCTGTGACCAAAGTGGACAAGGCTACTACCTACTCCATGAGGAGAGCAAGTTGAGGCCCCTTGTCTCCAATTTGGGGGATCTTACAGATTCTGTCTAGTGACAAATCTTTGGATAGTAGTGATAGTTCTGAAGATGAAAGGCAAATTATGCAACAAGTAAAACATGATGTACTGAGGTACTTAATGCCAAGAAACTCACAAAGTAATAAATGAAGTGGAAAAAATTTTGATTATGATGCAAGAAACTAAGCTTCTAAGTCAGATGCATAGTATCCTAATAGTAATTCACATAAAAACAAGTGTTCATTGTATAGCTAAATAATAAGACAGTAAAAATGTTTTAGACAATATATGGTCCTGTGAGCCCACAGCACCCCTTAAATATTTTTTTCTTTTTTAATTTTTATTGGTACATTTTAGGTATACAATACAGTTACATTCACCATTGGAAATTTGC